AAAAAAAAAAAAAAAAGAATAGTGTTTTTGGGCAAAAATAACAAAAAGGAAATGATATCAATACAAGACATCACAAAACATGAATGAGGGGCTGAGGAGATAGCTTGCCAGTCTAAGTGCCTGCCTAGCAAGCACAAGGACCCAAGTTCAATTCCCAGTACTGCATATCGTGCCAGGCATGGCACAATACCAGGCATAGTGGCTCACGCCTGTAATCCCAACACTGGGAAGGCTGAGACAAAAGGATCACGAGTCTGAACTGACTAGCAAGTCCAGGTAGCAAATAAACAAACAATGAATACCACAAAATATTAAAAATACTAAATCTGAGCTGGGTGCAATATCATACGTCTCTAACCCCAGCTATTTGGGAAACTGAGGCAGGCAATAATTGCTAGTTTAAGGCAAGCTTAGTTGACAAAGGCATAATTCTGTTGCAATTTTGATATACATATCAAAATTATGTATATCATAATTTGTATAGAAATTTTGATATACATAATAATCCTTCCTGATCTGCAATTTCATTTCAGTTTGTTATCCCTAGGTAGTTATTTTGAAAGAAACATCATGTTCATATGATTTTCATACTACTACACTGTTTTCTTTTTTTAAAATTAGACTACCTTTATTTATTTGTTTTTATGTATTTAGTACAGGGTCTACAGGGTTTCACTACACAGATCAAACTCCTAGTGATCTCCTGTTTTCAGCCTCCTAAGTGCTAAGACTACAGGTACACACCATGACACCAGTTTCAGTCTGAGTGTGCCCTAGCAGCAGTGCCAGCACCACACACAGGGAATCTAATCCTGGTCCCTGAGTGCCTAAGTAGGCAATTTAGTCTGCTGAGCTATCTGACCAGCCCATGATTTTTTTTCTTTCTTTCTTTCTTTCTTTCTTTCTTTTTTTTTTTTTTTTTTTTTTTGTGGTACCAGGGATTGAACTCAGGACCTTGCGCTTGCCAGGCAGGTGCTTATTCTACTGAGCTATCTCCCCAGCCCTTATGTTGTTTAACTATCTATTTTATTAGTAGTTGTGTTTTGAGGGTTTCATCTTGTTTTTTGAGACAAGGTCTCACTATGCAATCCAGGCTGGTCTCAAAGTCATAGTGATCCTCCTGCCTCAGACTCCCAGTGCCAAGATTACAGGAGTGCACTACCATACCCCACCTGGACTGTAATTTGAGTAACTGTTTCAGCAGAGACAATGGACTGCCTATAGAAAAACAATGGTAAACAGGTAAATAGACAAAAAGGACAATGTAAGGCAACTAACTTTTCATCTAATCACAATTTTTTTTTTCTAAGACTGGCCCTATAAAGTCCCTGTCTACTGTTTCTCCACTGTCTTTTGCCAGTACTTCTGACGTCAGGACTAAAAGCATCAAATGGAGAGGCTTTCTTTTTGGAAATCTATCATAACATCTTTTCTTAAAAACATACCTGAGGCCAGGAATGTAGCTCAGCAGCACAGCACCTGCCTGGCAAGTGCAAGGTCCTGAGTTCAATTCCCATTTCCCCCCCAAAAAAAGACATATTCTGAGCTTATACATAACTACCTTATTTAGAAATATTAAAGTTCTTAGGTTCGTAATTGTCTATATCCCAGAATCACTGGATTTCTAACTATATGAATCCTGAAAATAAAGTTTTCTAGCTCATACATTTTATGTTCAAAAACCTACATTGTTTAACTCTACTCAAAGCTTCTGAAAATCAGAAAACAATGTCTTACTATACCGTCTTCCTTTAGAGTTGGAAAGTAACTACAGTGAGTTACTCATAAGCAACAGATAGAGCTGGCTAGTATTTCATCAAACATTATTAAAATTTACTATATCAGAAAGACTTCCTTGCACAACTAGGACAAAAAAACAATTATCTATTACCTCACTGCTGGAAACCTCATGCTCTGGAACTACATCCCGATGCTTGCTTTGAGAAACTGATGTACTGACCGAAACCGACACAGGTTTTGGTGAATGGAAGGCACTGATAAGATGACTGAGAGGAACTGTAACCTAAAAAAGAGAAAAGTTCCAATTTAGTAGTGCACTTTTTAAAGCTCCTTTTTGTTGTCAGGACTTAGGATACGTTAAAGTTAAAACTATACTGAATAGTACAGTTATATTTTAAGCCAGGGGCATAGCACAGTGGGAGAGCACTTGCCTAGCATGCTTGAGGCCCTCATGTTCGATACACACACACACACACACACACACACACACAATGTGCGTACACACAGTGTTAAAAACAGCAAGCATTCATTTACTGCTTTCAGGTTACTCTTGATCTATAAATCAAAAGTATTATTATTTAAAATAATCCTAGAACTCTTTATGTAACTCAGGCTGGTCTCAAACTGGAGAGAGTCTTGTCTCTGTCTCCAGGTGCTGGGATTACAGGTGTATAGTACCAGATCTGGCTCCTACAGGCAATTTTATTAGGGTTTTGTTTCATTTTGTTTTTTGTCTTTTTGACATAGTCTCACTAAGTAGTCCAGGATGGCCTTGAGGTCACTTTGTAGCCCAGGCTAGCTTCAAACACAACAATCCTCCTCCTGCTTCAAGCCTTCTGAGGGCTGGGATTACAGGCATGTGCCACCACACCCAGCGATGCTGGCTAATACTTTTAAAGAACTGGGAAAATATACCATTAGAATTGCAGAATATGGGGCTGGAGAGATGGCTCAGTGGTCTAAAGCACCTACTTGGAACAAACTTGGCAAAGCATAGGGACCGTGGTTCGACCCCCCCCCCACATGCCAGCCAGCCCCGCCCCCAGGTGGGCTGAGCTGGCCACACACACACACACACACACACACACACACACACTAAATAAATGTAAAAAAAAAAAGAAAAAAAACTGCAGAATATACAAAACTATCAAAGAGTGAGTGAAATACTTTACTGACATTAAAATATATATGTGTATATATTAAATTTGACACATTTTTTTCCCTATCATCACCATCTTGTTCTAAATCACCATCTACATGTGAATTCTGCAACAGCCCCTAGTCCCTGCTTCTGCGCTTATGTGGCTGTGTATATTCCTAGTATAGGATTAAAGATATCATATTTAAACTGATCTTTTCAAATCACTCCCCAGCTCAAAAATCCACAGTAGTTCTCTTCTGCTCTTAGGAAAAGCTGAAGTCCTAACAACTGAGACCCAGAAACCCTCCATGCTTTGGTTATTACCTGCTCCCACTCTGCTCCCCTCATCTTCTGTGTGCCAGCCATACTGGCCTCCTTGCTCTTCCTGGAACATTAGGCAGACTCACTGAAGGCCTTTGCACTGCCAATTAGAACATAACTTGCTCTCACCTTCCCTTCAGTTTACATTCCAGTTTTCATTAGTTCTTCCCCTACCTACCCTAATATTCCAACAATCTTTTCCTTAAGTATATTTCCTACAAGGCTCTCTGCTCTATGTATCTTCTTGACACTTTTCAGTAACACTTTCCCTATTTTCTTAATTACCTGTAGACTTATTATCTACTTGTCTGACATTATTAGTTATGGGACATTAACAACCTGGAATTATTACAGATCCCACAGGTTAAGGGCTTAGTTCTAAAACACTGTCCCCAGTTCCAATGTCAGTGACAAGTCTCATGTCAACCATGCTTCTGACCAACCATTCATAAACTGTGTGTTCCCACAACCCTCTCCAGTTTGATTATTTGCTAGAATGGCTCACAGAACTCAGGAACACACTCTATGTTTACCAGCCTACAATAAAGGATAAAAATGAATAGTCTAATGAAGAGGTATATCCTGTAAAATATAGAAAGATTTCTGGTATAAGGTTCCTGCCTCTACCAATTCACCATCTAGAAACTCCATCTCCTTGTATAGGAGTTTCTAATGGAAGCTGGGTGTGGTGGTGCACACCTGTAATTCAAGCACTAGGTGGCTGAGGCAGGAGGATCATACTGAGTCCGAAACCAGCCTAGAGTACATAGTGAGTTCAAGGGTAGCCTGAGCTATACAGCAAGACCCTGTCTCAAAAGAAACAAAACCAAAAAAAAAAAAAAAAAGCAGTTTCTAATATAGCTGAGACTACAACCTTTCCATTCTTTCTCTAGCAGTATGTGAATAGAAGTACACTCTCCAATCACTTCGTCTTTTTGGTCCCTAGTCCTATCCTGAAGCTATTTAAAGTTCATCTCATTTGCTTAAACACTGATGTGATCAACAAGGGATCATGAATTATGAGTGCATAATTCAAGTAATTACAACAATTTTAGAAGGTCTGAGCCAGGAAGATCACAAAGATTACAGGAATGTTTTATTTAACCACCTCTGACACTAGAATGTAAATTCCACGCAGCAAAAGGATTTTTCTGTATTTCATAATTTCAATATTGTACTCCAACATAACAGTACAATACTTGCCAATCAATATACAATATTTGAATGCTACACAAATATTTGAGTAACCGAATACACTAAATCTGTTACCATGTCATATATTTTACTTACCTCATTTAATCTCGTAATAACCATAAAAACTAGTCACTATTAATATACCTTTCCTGTGATTTGAGTATTGGTCCCCTCTATTAAGACCTTAAAGAGTGGGATTTTTAGGTTTGAGACAGGGTTTTGCTATGCAGCCCAGGTTGGCCTTCAACTTACAGCAATCCTCCTGCCTCAGCCTTCCAAATGCAGGGATTACAGGGATGAACCATCACATGGCCTATTGAAACCTTTAAGAAGACCTTTAAGAAAAGTATACGAAAGGGTTTGCCTTCCTTGCTCTTGTACTTCTCTACCATGTTGTCAGATGTTGGCATCTTTGTAACAGACTTCCTAGCTTCCAAAACTGTGAAGCAATAAACTTCTTTACATTTATAAATTACTTACGCTAAGGTATTATTGACGCAGTCTAAGATACTTCTCATGTAACAGAGGAAGACAGCAGTAAGGCAAGTAAATTTGGTGGCATGTCCACGGTCACATAGCTAGCATAGATCAAGAAGCCTAACCCAAGGAAAGCAACTAAAAATTCTACAGCTGAGTCTTCTCAAAAAAAAGTCTTCTCATCACATAGACCTTCTTCAAATCCCGTATTTTACACATAAACAAAGCAGACTATCAGACCATCATTTTAAAATTATACTTACCTATGTTAGTACAGAGGAGAAAAAGTGTAAAATTTATTCTAAAATATCTATCTTTGGGTAATGAGCTCAGTTAAGACCGCCAACAGTATACAATCTCACTTCGCCATCTCTACCAGTATCACAGAGCACTAATTTGCCATGTAGCTAATGGAGATAATCAGACATTCTTGATGTGAACAGGCCATGTCACACTTCTTTCTCAAACAATTGCTAGAACTCCTCCAGATACTGTCATCTCAGTACACAGCACCTTCCTCTATCCAGCTGACCAAACCCAAAACATCTCTCAAGAAATTTTCTTTCTTCCCATAATCACTTCCACCACATTAGTCCCTTTCTTGGATTACTTAGTTAACTCTTTCACTCTTTCTTGTCCTCCCAAATTCTCCACATAGCATCTTGTCCTCCCAAATTCTCCACATAGCAAGAAGTCAGGGTGATCTATTAAAAATGAAAATCTTACGTTTCAAAACTTTCAATGGTAGCCATAGCCAGCGAGGTAAAAATGAAATGCAAACTCCCTTAAGGCTTCTTGCAAATCTCACACCTGACAATGTTACCTTTAATCACTAATGCTGCAGTGACACTAATCTTTTGTTGTTGCTCCTCCAATCTATAACTCTGCTCTCTCAGGATCTGCTGACACTTTGCTCTAGGCCTGAAGTAACTATCCACTGTTCACTTGGCTCTTACTCGTTTTTACTTCATTACACTGATAAAAGATTCTACGTTTGCTTTGTTTATCCACTACACAACAACTACTGCGCTTTCTATTATCCAGCCCTACTCTACCAGCACCAAAGAGGGAGGGGTTATAAACAAAGGAACACCATCACACTCTTAAACCAAAGGTGTTAATTTAAACATTTAAACTTAAGGTCTTCAAACATCGTCACAAATGATTATTCCTGGAAAAGAGTAAAAGAGTAAAAGAAATCCCACAGAATTATTTTTCTCTGTCCTATATTATGCTTTACCAACAGATGGAGATGAGGCTGAATCTAAATTTTAAGTGCAAAAAGTTTTTGTTATTTCAACCGAAGAGGGGAAAAAATTACAGTAGATACAATTTATAGAATGTTTGGTTTAAATTCCAGTTAAAAGGAGAAAAAAAAAAAAAAAGACTGGAGTCCCGAGTCGGAAAGAAAGCACTTTATCTGCTCCCTTTCTGTTTACTGCATAGACACGTCCCCAACCCCCACCTCGGAATGTCTGGTGTGGACAATGCCTGACGGGTTCTCCCGCGGAAATTACACGCACTCGATACGCTGTGCCACGATCTCCTTCGCGCTTAAATCACGCCTCCGCCCCCCAACGCTTTGTTGCCAGACCTTCAAGTTTCAGGCCCTACTCTCAGGGTTGGCCCGTGACCCACTTTCAGCCACGAAGATCGCGCTGGATTACGCTTCCCTTTTAGTCCACTTCCGAAAAACCGATTCCAAGAAGGCAACTGGAAAACGGCCACGGGCAGGACCGCGGAAAAATAGGCTCAAAGCGGGGCTCACCTGAGGCTGAACCGTGCTCGACAGGGAAAACATCTCCTCCGGACTCGGCGGCGCTCCCGCCTGCCGAAACTATCCTTCCGTCCTCAGCCCGGCAGGCAGGCGCTGCGCCCTGTGTCACGCGCCTTCCTCTCCGCCGCAGCCCCTCTCCCTACCCGGGATGGAAAATGGCCTCCCTCCCACGGCTGCCTCCACGGCCGTCCCCCGCCCCGGAAGCCACCGGCAGCAGCAGTAGTTCCGGGGCACCGGGGCCGGCTCGCCGCCCCGCCCGGACGCCCGCCCCCGGGCGCGGGCAGCAGTTGGCGGGCACAAGAAACAGCACCCCGAGCGCCTGGGGTCTGTGTGTTTTACTTTAGAGGGGAAGACGTCGACCCCACTGTTCCTCAGACGTTCCCCGGCTTCCTCATCAAAGTCTCCAGCGTATTTCCTTGTTCCAACCGAGCCTCGGGCTGGCAACGTTTTATTTGCTACAATTTAGTGCGCTTTATTTTCCTCAAAATAAATCGCAAGTTCTCCCTGTTGGCCTTGGTTGGTTTCCGTGAGGCGAATTCTATCCTGTAGGAAGCCGGCTTACAGACAGTCACGCTTCCTGCTCGTCTAGTCTCTCCACCTTCGGCGATCCTTTGGAGTCCAAATCTCAGGGCCGGCCACAGCGTTTGGGAACCATCCGAAGCGATTTCTGGGTCTCGCGGGGTGGGCGGTCGCAAAGGAAGGAAATGTTAGGTCCAGACTGGGACGAGTGAAGCAATCCGGTCACATCCTGTGATTCAGATTTCAGTTCCAGCTGTCTGGTCTCCGCCAAGAACTGTTTGCGCCTCCTCCCTCATAATAAATGATGTCATGGGCCACAGTTACCGCCTTTGAAAAGTCCCCACCGCCTCTGAAACTCAGCTCCTCGACTTCCGCGAAATTAGCTCGCCCGGCTTTAGAGCGAAGGGGGCGGAGCAGCGTGTGGCGGCGCGGCGACGTCACGTAAAGCGCGCGGATGGGCGTGGCCTCACTTTGAACTCGGTTGGCGGGAGTCGGGAATCGCGGCTGAGGGAGAGGCCTGGCCGCTGGGCTCCCGCGGTCTCCTACCTGCGCTGTCCAGCCATGGAGCCCACCGCCGGGTGCGAGGGAAATGGAGGAGGCCCGGCGACTGGGGAATGGATGAACACAATCCCGGTTCCAAGACCGCCCTCCATTGAGGAATTCACCATAGTGAAGCCCATTAGCCGTGGTGCCTTCGGGAAAGTGTATCTGGGGCAGAAAGGCGACAAATTGTATGCAGTAAAGGTAGGAAGTCTGGAAAGAGGAAAGAAAGGAAGAGTCAGGTCCTTGCGTCCTCGGTACTGCCCCTCTGACTTGGGGAGCTAAGGCCTGCAGAGCCAACCGCTTCTTCGGGCTGGCCTTGGCCCTACCTTTCTCCCCATATCTTAATCACCCACTGGCCAGGGAAAATAGCAAAACCTGACCTCGTCCGCCTGTCCAGTGTTAACAAAGGATTTGGAAGCTGGGGGCGAAGGAACTTTCAAGCGACAGCCCTGATTCATGTCTAATCCATACTAAAATCAAATTTCTAAATACAAAAATGGTAAGAAGTTGGTGGTTGATTTGCTTTTTCATTTACTTCGAAATGCAGATTGCTGAACTTTTTCTATCACAGAAAAATGATTAGTTTGTGAGCACTGATTTCAAGTTTGACTTAACCGGGAAGAAGCTGCATTATTTTCTGATAACTGTTCTAAAATATTTAAGTGTTAGTATTACCTATTCATTTCGTGTATCTTCTGGTAGCTTTTTACTAATTTGTCGTTTACCAGGTGTAAATTTGGGATTTTCATTAAGTTTCTAACAATCGCTTACAGATTATACTTGAATTCTATCCATTTGTAATAGATCAATATGCTTAAACTGCTGTACAACCAAAGATCTCATTGAACAAGCCTCCTTTCTCTCCACACTTTCTATTATGGCATTTAGGATGTGCTTTTATTTAAAGAGCAGGCTAAAATAGGTCTTTTTAATCATTATTTATTTATTTATTTATTTATTTGATATACAGTCGATACACAGCTCAGACTGTATTGATCCAGCGCTGGGATTACGGGTGTGCGCCACCACGCCCAGTTTCAGTGGCTCGCGCGGTGCCCCTGGGTGTTCCGCAGCCGGTTTGGCATGCGGGACGGGGAAAAGAGCCCGGGTCTTTTGATTGCCTGGCTGGTGCGCTTAGACGCCAAACTGTATCTCCCCAGCCTAAAATATGTCTTTGTCAGTCTTTGCAACAGTGTATTTGAAGCTGTCTATCTACTCTTTGTTCTCAGTGACTTTCAAGATTTGATTATTTATATTTCACCACTAAGTGAAGGCACAAAGGAAAGGAGAAACCAACAGGCCATGCAATTTCAACTTCCTGTTAGACATTTCCAAGTGACTACCATACACCTACAGATTATACTTGCCTCAGTTTAAACAGTCCTCTACACCTAACTTCCAAACTCTGAACTTACTGTATTACCTCACTACATTTAATAGCACCAACGTCTTCCCTGTCCTTAAAGCTAGAAACTTAAGTAATTCTATCTTTTGCTTCATCTGTGTCTTATCTCTCTATTCCTAATTTTACCTATTATAGTCATTTTTTTCACCCCTCCCTTTCTATTCATTTTTCTCCGTGATGTGTCAGTGTGTCAATGTACATTTAAGTGACTTTTTTTTTTTTTTTTTTTTTTTTTCTTTTTCAGAACCGAGGATTGAACTCAGGCCCTTGCACTTGCCAGAGAAGCACTTATTCCACTGAGCCATCTCCCTGGCCTTTTTTTTTTTTTTTTTTTAAGTGGCTTTTAGCAAATTAAGTAGTTGTGTAGCTATCACCATAATCCAATTTTAGAATATTTCCATTATCAGAAAATGACCTCTTCTGCTCATTTGCAGCACTTCTATATTTAACACTTTACCCTCAGGTAACCACTAACCTACTTTCTAAAGATTTGCCTTTTCTAAAAAGTTCAAATAATGAAATAATACAATATGCAGGTGTTATTATTTTCACCTGACACAGTAGTTTTGAGATTCATCAGACTTTCATTTCAATACCTACTGTATTGGAATAACCCTACTGGAATCATTATCTTTATATTTTACCCATTCGTTGGGCTGTGGCGTTCAAGCTGAAGTCCAGACTCCTTAGAAAAGTAATCATGTATCAAGTTCTGGCTCTAAATTTCTACTGTATCTCCCTCATACTTTGTGTTCAGGCAAAACTGTCCTTCAGTGCTGTGTATTTTTTTTTTTTTTTTTCTTTTGGCTCTGAGATTGTTTCTGCTGGCTCCTCTTTCAGATTTCCATTCTTCTGTCTTCTTTATGTATTACAATTTGTCTTAGCTCCCCTTCAAACCTTCTATGACCCATGGCATTAAAATGGCCACCTGCTTTATACTTCCTAAGATTTTTGCTTTTCCTTCTACAGTATTTAGTAATCATTATCAACTTCTGACATGAAAGCACCAATTAATTTGTTCGCTAAATATTTTAGATCTGGGATATAGTGGCAAACAAAGCGAAAATTCTCGCACAGAGCTTCCAGTCTAGTGGAATGATCAGTGAATCCATGTCTTTCATTGTCAGTTTACCTTAGTATTCTTAAAAAAAGGAAGTATGGCCAGAATTTATCATATACAAACATTAATAATTTATTAGATATAGTAAATACACCTTTTTTCTTGTGATAGTATTGAGAATTGACTATTCAGTTTTAGTTCAATTCCAACTTTAATATACATTAGAGCTTTGTTTTATAATCTACATTAAGAATTTAATGATAATTTTTATCACATTCTATAGGGATTTAAATTTTAGAATATCCATGGTTGTTGGAAAATAGTTTCATGTTATGTCTAAGGCATTTGATATTCAGACAGATAGTGATGTTAAGCTCAACTGCCTCTGTTACAGGGTAATAATATCATTAAGCTTCTCTTCTGGGTGTTGAACAACTAAAGTTTACAGACCAAAAATTAGAGAAATAGAGAGCTACAAGGCTAGCCAGTATTTTGGCCCTAGCCCTTCAAGGTCAGTGAGGACTCAGGACATAAGAGAACCTCTGCTGTGACATCTTGTAACTCAGTGCTGTCCCAAATTTTCTGATCAAGGAGATTATGGGGCCACAGAATAAAGCGATCAACGATATATAATGTGCCTAAGGAGAGTCACCTAGAGAGAAAAATTTCTCTCAGGCTTTCACAGAGAGCAAATTGGTCAAGCAATGGCCCTGATTCATCCAGATGGCTGACACTGACAAATGATCTATAAGGTGATCTTTAGATCACCACTACAAGCTAATTTTTAGACTGGCTTCTAATATAAAAAGGTCCTTCAAAGACTTCTCCAAGTACTGTTTCTCTAACTGTAGTAGAAAACCCATCTCTGACAAAACAAACAGAAATGGGGAGTATGTTGGGAGCCACTAAGCTAGGAAATCAATATGTGTAGGTGGGACTTGGCCCAGTGCCTAAAGCAAATAAGCTACCTCACTCCTGAGATGAACACCCTGTCTGGTTAAGGCTAGCTATCAGTTGCTAGGCAACCTAGTGTCATGGGTCACTAACTTCATAAAATTGCAAATAACCAATTTGTTGTGAAAAAATTATATATATATGTATATATGTATATATATGTATATATGTATACACAAGAGAGGATAGAGATACAGCTACTTTCTCTTAGTTCATTGAGAATAAAAGT